GTATCTAGTAATTAGGTTAGGTTTAGCTATAAATACTCAAGCTCTTGGGACCATTTAATTGGGATTATAAAAAATTATTAGTAAACTAAACTGTCACAAACATTTTTAAAAGAACATCTCAAAATTAATTACCTAGGGCTTATAGTCTATATTTTTTTTTTTTTTTCATTTTTTGAAGCATATAATCTTTTATTTTTCCTTAGAAAAATAAGAAATAAAAAATTGTAGCTTATTTTGATACATGCACAAAACTTTTGTACCGGGCGAATGATATATACAAGCTTGAGACTCGAAGTTCACTAATTTTGTTTGTTTTCTTTTTTTTACTAAATCAATATTAGTTACATGTTTTTCAAATTGACTAATTTGAGGTCAACGTTGATTAAAATCCATATTTTGACCGGAATTTTAATAGCATATGTATATGCATGGGGAAATGCTACGGTCTCGTTACGAAATTATTATGTCGGGGTTTGTAACCTTTAGATCAACTATCCTTTACGGTTACATGATAATCTAACGGTTACAAAGCCCGACAGAATGATTCTGTAACGGGATGATATGCCCATTTCTGACCGAAATCTATTGTGACCTAAACTATTCCTTCTATTTATAGAATTCTGGTTATGTCCCACGTGTTCATCAATAATGATGTATTTATTTATTTTTTAAATTCAATTTACATGTACATACTCTCCCAATTAATAACATATATTTATTTGTTTATTCCAATCTTTATGTTTAATAGTTTGAACATAACTCATTAATATTACTTTTAGTTATAACTAAGTACACACTCTCCTAATTAATAATAGCTTTATTTATTTATTTATGTTTCTCAATCTTCGTGGTTAATAGTTTGAAGACTCATTTTGATAGTTTTTGTTTTTCCTTTCTAATCTATATGGTTAATAGTTTGAAGTAAAACTCTAATAAATTATTTTTGTAACTTAAAAAAAATATTATATATATAAACCACTTTTTGTTAAAATATTTACAATTTCTATAGTTATATTTTTCATGTTCCTAAATATCATTTTTTTAGTTTAATAACATAATGTTTATTATTAGAGAATAGATTACATTTGTTTTTAATTTCTATTGTTATTGTAATTATTAGAAATTTTAATGAGTTATATAAAATTGGTAATGTGAAACAAAATATTAAATCAATTATTCGTCTTTCAAGCCCCTAATTACAACTGCACACATGAATGTCTTGCAAAAATCATATGAAAGTGATGAGAACAACATATTATTTAATATCGAAAAAACACGCAATAAAAAAGTATTATTTTTAAATTTATAATATAAAATTACAACTTATTTAATAAAAGTGGATGGTTTTTCTTAGTGGAGGGTTTTATCGAAAAAACCGTCACCTTAGTGGGGTGAGATGTAAGTTCCAACAATGTTAAATGGTTAAGTTTAGAGGTAATAGAAAAACCGTAACATTTGTTTTAATTAATAAAACTGTATGTTTCAGTTTTGTTGGAGAGTGAAAAAACCTTCACATTTGTTGTTTTCTATTTTTTCATAATAAATAAATATTTTTGTCTTTTGAGCCAACTTCATATTTTTTTCATGTGCTTTGTATTTTAAATTTTGGGTTTATCATTTTATGAAGAGTGTGCTAATTTTTTGTTACTTTTTTTAGGATGTTAGGTTGGATTTTGTGTACAGGACTCCAAACACCAAATAATTTGATGCATTTAAACTGGACTTGGAGAATATGTTATACACGTATACACGCTTGCTATTAGCATTACATTTTCTATTTTTTTGGTTTCTTAATTTTTTCTACTAAATTGAGTGTGTGTGTGTGTGTTTTTTTTTTTTTTTTTNNTTTTTTTTGGTTTCAAGAGATTGAATATCGATTTCTTGGTTTAGACATCATATTCGACCTGATATCCAGAACGTTGATATGTTCGTGTGAATGTGAATCGCTATTGCAACCATTTTGGTACGTAAATCAGTTGAAATTCATAAATTCGCATCTCTTGAGGTTAACTTGGACGAAAATTTGCATGCTTAATTAGCCATTGGATTAAATCACTGTAGGTTTATTTCGACAAGATGAGAAAATACATTGTCAAATTGAGTTTTAAATGATGATGCTTTGTGGTTATTATGTTGTTGTAGATTCGAAATGCTATTTTTCCCTTTAGTTAATCTTAAAAAATTTGCAAGAAGAAACTTTTTTTTTTTTTCCTAGAATGCAGTAGAGATTAAGCTATGGTAGAAGATGTAAGTTCCAACAAATGTTAAATGGTTAAATTTAGATCTATATCATCTATTCAAATTTTATTTAACAAACATGTGTATCTATATGATTTATCTTAAGTTTCCATAGCATATGGACCATACTTAGCTTAATATTGAATATTATTCAATTTATTGAAGATAATTTTATTAAAAAATGTAAACAAAAAATTTTAAAAATTTAAATTGTAAAAATCATCTCTATCCTGTTTTCATTAGAAATGGAAAGATCTCTTTTAATATTCATAGATCCATAGATTGATAAAACGTTAACCCAGGTTTAAATGCACCACAAATGATGTAAGGCTACTTAATCATTAATCCTTTCTACTCATTAATCCTTTCTAATGCATATTTATACGAGTGAAAATGTGAGAAAGTTTAGATTAATATACTATATGTAATTCTATGTAATTAAAAATATTAATGTGCACAATTAATAAATTTGATATATGATTTTGATTTTATGTTATTGAAAATATTAATTTGTGATGATAAAACGAGCATATAAACTTTTACAAATAAAAGAAACTACAATTTAGTTATAATGATAAATTTAACAAGCACGCACATAAACTGAAGTATGTAAATAAACATTGAATAATATAGAATAGTTATTTGTACGACTTATACTTAGTTCTCATGCTAATGTTCTATAGAATTTTTATTTGTATGGTTTATGCTTCATTTCTAGACTCCCGACTTTCTTTTTATATGTTCCGTGCATTTGCACGGGCACAATACTAGTTTAATTAAAGTTGAGAAATTGAGAAAATGTTAGCTGAAATTTTGAATCTTGCAGGAAATCTAATCGGACACGTACTAATCTCGCGTCAAACTTTAGTAGAAATTCATAATCAAGAAATTGAAGGACAATGGTCGCCAATTATTATTATTATTATTATTATTATTATTATTATTATTATTATTATTATTATTTTGGGAACATTGCACTCAAATTGGTTTAACTAAACCCAGCTCTTTTTATCACCTAATGTCCTGACGTAAACTGTTCCTCAATCGCTCAACATTTGGGGTTCCAAATGGTCGATAATCTTGGAAATTAAGTATATAGGAATGCCTATCATCCACAGTATGGTGAATAATTCTACATATGTTGATATTTTGGAAAAAGCGGAGACAAGGCTAGCGGGTTGGAAAGCTTCGACTCTTTTCATAATGTTCACCTACCCACGGTGGGCACATGTTAGTATGTCCACCGTTTATGTGGCATGCACACATTGGTGATGTTAATATATTTAAAAAAATACATCACCAATGAGTGCATTTCACATAAGCGGTGGGTATATTAACATGTGTTCATCGTTGTAGGTGAGCATTACTCTTTGCTATATACGTTTTATCATTTTAACTTTATATTTTCAATAAGAAAATAAAAAGTATTATTAAACTATTTAAAAACTGACTTTTTCGTCTCGGTAAAAGAATTTTTAGTCAGTTTAAATAAATTAGGATATAAATTAATACATGCTATTATATTTCAATTTTATATAGTTATTAATAACAAAGTATCTTTTATGTTAATAAAAAAATGTACATTAATACATAAGCTTAGGAGTTAAGGACATTTATATCAATATTCTAACTACTTTTTTTTTTTTAAAAAAAAAAAAAATCACTCTTCACATCCCTATTTTAAGTTTCTAAATCATTTCCTAGAACTTTAGAAATGAATTATACAATGTAAAATACTCTATATTTTTTTCTACAACTTTAAAAATTAACTATAAAATGTAGGGTGATGTTGATTTTAACGTAGGAATCAAATCCTATAAAAATGTGGTTACACCATTCATATCACATTGTTTACAATTTAAAAATACTTAATATGACTAATAAAATAAAAATAAACGAAAAGTATTAGTAGTAAAAATATATGATTATCTACTTATATAAATTTGTATCTAGTTTATCTTTTATGATCTTGTGATTTTTTTTCGATTGGTATATCAATTAATTTAGAGTATGGAGAGAGAATAGCTGTGTAAGGTTGTATTTTATAAATATCTCTCATTTAATTTTAAATGTTATAATGTTGACCCAACAATGAATTTATCTTGATTGTCAATTTGAATTTTTTTCATGAATTTGGGGTCTCCAACAATATGAGGATCTGAAAAATCCAATCTTCAAATATCCATTCAGAGATGAAACTAATAAAGCTTGAATGAGTTCTATATTATCAATCAAATTTGAACAATTATTTAAAAATAATAAAAATAAAAAATAAATGCTCCGATGGTGGAAATAGGTTGTGAAATTGATTCATCTTTCAAATGGCCAAATATGGTACACAAATTTTGAAGGAAATATTTTCAGGACTTATCACCGTGTGAACCAAACAATTGAAACGTGTGGATTTATTAATAAATATTAATAAAAGGATATCATCATATCAATGTCAAGCCCATAACATAAAATAGCATAGCAACCAAACAAAACGTACAAAACAACCCAAAACCCCTGTTTCCACCAATCGTACAGACACCTTTGGCCGTTCGCCGCCGAGACCTTTCCCATTCCACGTCCGCCACGTGTCCCCCGTATTCTCCCACACCCAGCCTCTCTCCTTCTCTCTCTCCCTCTCAGTGTGTGTAATGTATATATAAATGCTGCGTCTGCGTGTAGAATATGCTGAAAAATTTCCACTCACTCAACAATGGATCAAAACGACTTTCACAACTTTCCGACGCTACCCCAGCTGCTCGCCGGCGGCGACCCATACTCCGCCGCCGACGGCGAGGCTCACCTCGACAGACTCTGTGCCGGCCTCAGCTTCCGCACTCTGCTCTCCTACGGCTCCTCTTCCTCCGATCCCGCGGTGGAGGCCCGGGATCCGCCGCTCAAGCGGCCAAAGATCGGACCGGCGTACAATTTCTTCTGCGACACGACGCAGCCCCCATTTCCCAGCCAGCTGCCGAGCCTCCTGTCCCCTGAGCAGTCCCAGAAAAAAACCCCAATTTCAAACCCTAGATCCGAAACGGTGGCGTACAAGAAGCCGCGGTGCCGCCACCAAGAGCGGCTGAGCGAGAGGACGCGGCGCCTGCAGAAGCTCCTGCCGTGGGACGAGAAGATGGACATGGCGACGGTCCTCGAGGAGGCGCATAAGTACATCAGATTCCTCCGGGCGCAGGTCCGCGCGCTTCGGTCGATGCCCCGCGAGAGCGTCGCCGGATCCGCCGATTACGGCGCGGCGGCGGAGAGTGTTGCCGCCGGCGGGGATCTGGGGAGGCTGAACCGGCAGCAGCTGCTCCGGGTGGTGCTGAGCTCGCCGTTGGCTCAGGCGCAGCTGTACTCCAACGGCTGCTGTGTGTACTCGTCGGAGCAAATGGTGTGGCTGAGGAAGAAGGCCGATAGGGAGGCTCAGCACCGTGAAATGATGTCGGGTTTGTCTGGTCAGCACCCTAATTCCTTTCATTGATGAGAGCATTTGGTTGATGGGATTTCCTTATGGTTCTCTTGTTTAGATTATGAAGATGGTTTTTTGGGGAGTTTTTTTGGGGAGTTTTTGGAGGGTTTGAGGTTTTCAGTGTCTTTGAGCAGTGGTGCTGTTTTGTTAATGGTGGTAGTTTTCATGTGAGTGATCCAAAGGAAGATGTGATGAGTTTCTACTTTCTCAGTTTAAAAGATAACCTTTTTTAAGTCTCTTTTGAACTTTTTTTTTTTTTTTCTCCCCCTCTCTTTACTTTTTGTTTGTTCTTTTCTTGGGGGAATTTATTTTAAATTTAGTTAATAATTAAGTTACTTGCTATCTATTTTGGTGGATGTGAAAAACGAGGAACCTCGGTTTTTCAGCATATCAACAGATCAGAAGCAGATACAGTCAAGTTAGCCGTACGGAATGGCAGGAAGCTGCAAGCCTAGAGGCTTTGCCCTTTTGAAGTCAAGGAGTTTGCTGCAGGAGCCTTTTTTGTCTTTTGATCCTTAGTTTCTCCCTTTTGTTGGTTTTAGTTTCTTTTGAGGTGTTTAGTTTGGGGGGAGTAGGTTTTGATAGCATACTAGGCCCCGTTGGGGTGCAGTGGTTTGCTATTTTTGGTTAGCGGCCTTAACTTCTAGGAAGTTACGCTGCGGGAGATAGGGATAGGCTCATGGTTTCTTTGCCTTGCCTCTGACATGAGCATTACCTATCTTTGGTTCTTCATTTAAGAAGCTGGTTCTTCTTCCTTTATCCAGATTTGTTCTTGGATTGTATGGGCCTCGGCCTCTGTACATTGATCATTCTTCTTTTATAAAATCTGTCGTTTCGAAAAAAAAAAAAAAAAATAATTAAGGAAATATTATTGTCCACTTACAGAACCATTCCATCAGAGATATAATCGGTGGATATACATGTAGTTAGTATAAGATAGATGAACTAACGGTTAAAACAACCGACAGGATAGTCGTTTTAGATGTCATTTTGGCATTATCAACCAGTAACAAAATAAATGTCGTTTTAGATATTTTGTACACATTTTTACATTATTGCCCTCATCTAGCTAATAAATACACTACGTCTTTTTCATATTCACTCTTTATTTTTTTTCAAAATATTCATCTCTATCATCATTAATGAGGGTTATTATTGGCAAAAAATATATTTTTAATAACTGTGCAACTTCTCACATATATTAAAAATAGGAGATAGTACATGTTATTATATTTATATTTGTGCGTGTAGTGTTTTTTAATTTCTGAATGAATTTTCTCACATGCTTCAAAGTTGAGAATAATCATGCCATTAATGTTAAAAAAAACGATCTTGAGAAATGAACAATTAAACTCGAATACTATAAAAATTAAATTGGGCTGAATAATTTTATTCTTTATTGCTTTATTGCCATTAATTGAGGAATTTACACTCTCCACTTAAACAACTTGAAAATATTACATAATTACATCCCTTATATAATTATTTATAAATTAGCTAATTTTGTTAAATTTATTTGTATATATGCCTAAAAAGCTGATTTCCTGTTTACATGGTAACTTTTCAACAACTGATTTTCTATTTACATGTTAATTTCTCATCCTCTTTCCTCTCCCCCCTCTCTCTTCTTCATACACGACTCTCTCCCTCTCTTTTCTTCACACAAGTTCCTCCACCGTTGGCGCC